TTCGATCAATCTTGTTAAGTATATGTTTGTTTGCTGTTGATAACGTTGAAATAGAACTCAGTGTTGATGCCAAGCATCATAACTGTGAATACGTACATGATTGCTTTCTCTTTTGGTTTCGTTCCAAAAAACTACAAACCAATCCATCTGTGTCATATACTTCGTCATATGATTCGTTATCATTTGTAGATGAGTTTTCAATATAAATGAATTCTCTTAGTAAAACAATATTGCATTCCAGTTCTGTGACCTATTCTCAAGCAAAATGAATTGCTGAGGTTTTCACTTCATGGTTTCCATAAAAATAAGCAGTTTGGAAATATAAAAATATTCTGAGATGTCGAGATCTGATATATTGGAAGATCAAGTATCAGGTATGAGATCAAACTCGGATCCGACCCGACATATTTGCACTCGGGCTCATGCACCCAATGGGACCGGTTGCCAGGCACCAAACTCGATTGCACGACACTAATTTAGATTATCTGATAATCTCAATAAAAAGTAAGTTTTATTTTATTTAAAAGGACACTTTTTGTTGTACTATTTACTGGAGATACGAAGAAAGAATTCATCTGTCTCCTCATTCACCAGAAGCATGTATGAACAGGATGATAAACAAAGGTGGTATAAATGTGAACACGGAGTCATATGTGTTGATCCGAATACTACGACTAAGTTGAATCATCGAAAATATTATTTGAATAATCACGATGTTAACTCGAATATAATATAATCTCTAACACGGTCACATACATATCATTTTATGTTGCACATTTGTTTGTACTACTGTTGGCATAGCATACATTATACCGAATAGTCTACTGACGATTTTTTGTCTAGTTTGAATCACATGCAATATCATATCTAACTCTTCATGTATATGTTTAGCATCCAAACTTGAATCAGCGAAGAAATCTTTTCTAAAACCTTCATTAGTCTCAAGGGGGAAACAGCAGAGACTTTGGTCGTGAAGTCCCATGAAGTCTTGAAAGTCTTTTAAAATCTTCTGAAGTCTTCTGAAGTCTCTTGAAGTCTCATGAAGTCTCCTGAAGTCTCGTGAAGTCTCATTAAGTCTTATGAAGTCTCCTGAAGTCTCCTGAAGTCTTGAAGTCAGCTATTTCCCCCTTGAATTATAGTCTATATGAGTGCATCGGCGAGATTTTTTTATCGTATACATAATTGAATGTACTCCCTCTAATGAAACTATTTGCAACTTAAAATTCGCTGTATAGTAAAGCATTTTT